CTAAGAAGTTATGAACCTCAGTGAAGCTTGGTGCTATGCTCTGCATTAGTGGAGCTGGAATCTTATGGACAATGACGTCATGGTGTTTATCTGCCCTGGATACTGTGGTCTCCCAAATAATTGAAATAGATTTGATGGCTCGGTGTATCCACATATTAAACTGTCACATACATATTTGGTTGTTTGGCACTGGGATTGTATTTACTGTTAGAGTATACATGAATATGATAATATATTGTGAAATATAGTAGTTCCATCGAGGGCAACTGGACTGGTGTGTCCATTGTCCTAACAGAGTCCTGGCCTGATGAACTGACTCTCTTGTGCTGTTGCAGATTGACCCCCACCGCCTCCCTTCCCCACAAGTTTGAAAAGCATTAAACTACAGAGGATGAATAAATGAACAAATGATTAATGAGAAACTTCAGGGAATAATAATAAAAAGGAAGAGTTAACGATTGGCCAGAAAGAGGAATTTCTTTTCTGGCTCTTTTTACGATGGTGCCACCTCAGACTAACTCAGCTCTACCAAGCACCAACACAGCAATGTGGGTAATGACATTCTTTGCTTCTGTACAGCAAGCACACCTTTAAAATTATCAGGGCAATTATCTGATTCACAGCATTTTAACACTGTCTGTACATACGCAGACATCTCATCAGTCACAGTTTAATGCCTTCTATCTCAGTGGGAAGCACAGCCGAGAACATTCTTCTCTGTGGGGCGTTGTGCCATTAAAACCAGTTATAATCCACACACACACATTAGTAAATTTCATTGGCTGATGGAAGAGCCCTCGCTTTTCCATATTCCCGATATATGTAAATGAGTTTGCTTTAAGGTCTATTAAAGAACAATCTGTTAATAAACATGACCTTAGTCAAACGCAAACGAAATTTGTGCAGCGTCATGTTGAGCTTTAGACCTCAAAATAAATAACTAAATGCTTGTCCACCACCTACACAAATGGGTGCTGGCTATGATTCATGGACAAAACAGCGAACACTGACCTAACCTTGGTGATGGAGATAGTTATTATGTCATTGGAGGCAGCCTGATAACATTGGTGACCTATGCCTCTGTCCTGCTTTGTGCTTGACTGGCGCTCTGCTGGTGCCTCTCTGTCTTATACAGCCAGCTGATTGAATGCATCTTGTCTTTTTCTTACACCAGATTGCAAACTGTCTAGCCATCTTTGAATAATGCCCCCCACACCCTCAGCTCCACCCAATTTGCCTCGCATGGCTGCACAATGTGAAGCAGCGTAGGCTCCCAGCGCTATCTACTTCATCAGACCCTGATGTTAGTGTGGAGACTGGCGTCTGAGTCGGCTGATAGCTGTCGGCTGCTCTCAGTTCGTAAATAGAGATGTAGCAGAAAGGACAATTATCGTGACGCTGACTTTTCTTTTTCCACTTGTGCTTTTATCGCCATTTCATCCTTCACACATTATTAGCATGTAATCCTGGTGTGACTTAGCTGATCGTGTTTTTGTTTTTTTTTTGTGAGTGAAATTGATCAAAAATAACCACGGTGGCCTGAGCCAACTTTAAAGGAAACGTCTCTGAAGTTGCTTGCCATAAAAACATAATGGGTACAAGAGAACGTGCCTGTCTACACGTCTCTCTCTTTTCCTGGCTGTTCTTTTTAGTTTAAAGGTGAGTACTGGTCTGCTGTGAATGTTTGCTGCCGCTTCCTGTCGACTCTAAGTCTACTGGTAGTCTGACGGTGGGGTCACAGCACAGGACTTTGCATTCAGAAAGGAGAACAAACAGCAGAGACCTTGACCCTCCCCACTTCTCAGCCTCCTTCCAGAGCTGTGTCTGACGCCACAGTGACAATGCTTACAGTATGTTTACATCAGCGCTGTGTGTGGGCCGTGACTGGGGAGAATCTCACTTCATACACATATTAAATTACAATTTGCCCTGATTTCAGCTCCCCCTAACTCACAACAGGAAAGAACTTAAACATGGATTTGTAGTCAAACATGGCCACAGCAGTCTCCACACTTTCCCTTTGCCCGCTGCCTTCTCTGACTGTAGCCATGGGTCAGTAGAGACTCACGGCTAATGGCTGTGTCGTCAGTGCTTTCTGTTGCGGAGTCGGCTGACAAAATAATGAACCGCACTGGCTTGTTTGATTTCCTCTGGAGACAGCTCAGCAGGAGTCTGATCCACATAGAACCCTGGCTCCCACTAACCCAATCTGCTTCACCCCACTCTTTCTTTCTGTCTCTGACTCAGAGACAGCATTCATGCAGGCCTTTTTAGGGTACATCCATTCACAGTAATTTATTGTAAATTAAAAAGCTAGGAGTTGAGTTGCACTGCTAAAATGCCCACGCTGGCAGCCTGGCTGTTCTCCACAGTGTCTGGCCTAAATTCTATTTCCTCTCATGTCCATTTTGTTGCCAGAGCATTACAGAGTGCTGTAGCATTAGAAAGTGTACATCTCTTACATAGATGATCATCTTTTTTTAGATGAACAGAAACTCAGTTTTAATCCTCAGGACACACAATGTAAATATCAATTTAATTAGATGAAAAAGAAATCATGGCTTAAGGTTCACTAACTAATGGCCTATTACAGTACAACTCACCAAAGACTTCACTGGTAAAGGCTGTTTTGTAGAGAATAACCCCACCAATCCCATCTTTTTTTATGGAAAACATGGACACTGGCTAGCATGCATGCAGTCAGTACTGATGTGTCTTGGCAGGCACGGATAGGGGCAGTGTAACCATGGACCTAGTCATCATCATTTGGCCGCACATTCCTGTCCTATCTGTGCAGTAAACTGGATCTCCTCCTCTCTCTTATCAGCTGTCAGGAATTCTCTATCAGAGTTTCTCTCTCTCTCTCTCTCTCTCCTTTCCTCTCCCTCCTTTCCTCTCTTTCCAACTCTACTTCTCTTGTTTTCCTCCCTTCCTGTCCCTTTCTTTAAGCTGTATGGCTCACGCAGAGCAGAAAGAGTGAACGGTCATTAAGATAAGGAACCAAGGAGATGTCAGACAGCTCCTAGGACAGACTGGAACCCAAACAGTTCTATTGTCAGCGGCACCGCCATCTTTGAAGCTGCCATCATAATTGGGTCACTAACTTTTCTGATCTTTCCGTACAATTTGCTACAAACCCTTTTTGCAGGACTGTTTTTACGCCTTCTTAAATGCAAACTAAAAACACTATGATCGTCCATTACATTTGGTAATTTACTGGACTAATGTTATTTCTTTAAATGTAATATGTTGGATTTGGAAAGAGATACAAGCAACTACTGAAAAACAGGTGAGATCCTAATTCTTTTAATGACACCCATTATGGTGGGCAACTGTTTTCAAAAGGGATCCACAGGGCTTACAGTTATCACTCCAGTTCGTGCCGGTGTGCCTGTCATCTTGTAGTATCAAAGCACAGACACAAGGGGTCTCTATTCCTCTGTACTCCCACCTTTTCACCCTAATATGATGGCTGACCCCAAAATACCATGTCTGCTGCCTAAGACAAGAAAATGCTACAATTGTTGCATTAAATGAAATAAATCAATATATATATACATATACTTTTTTATGCTATAACTTTGTTCAAGATTTCTCCCCTTTCGGCAGAAACTACATTAGGAGCACTGGCCTTGCGTGGAGCCTAAATCTCTGGGACCTGAGTAGTATTTAGTACGCGGAGTCTGTAATTACTCAGAGAACACGGCTGCCATTAAGGCCACGCCTCCAGTCCTATAAAGGCCTGGCAGCCCGTAAACGTGTCAGTGGCAGGATGTGTCCCCTCTCCACACACTCTGCTGGATGGTGAAATGTAATGTCTGAATCCCTACACAATACTGTTGACTAAAAATGTGACGAAATGACATTATTACTAAATAGTAGTGAGTGAATCGGCAGGACACATATCAAAGGGCTGTACTATCAATGTCAAAAAAAGTCCCATGGATGTAAAAAAATCCAATTTACATCACTTCACAAATAAGTTCATTCGAGTGATTGGACAAAGGACACACACGGACGTGTGATCATACGCAGGGAATGCTTTTCTTGTCTTCAACTTACTACCACAGATGGAGGAGAAGCTATCTTTCCATCAGCGTGTCGGCTGGCAGATTATGAAACATGATCCTTCTTCTAGAAAAAGTCCTTCTTCCCTCATCCTAATTGGATGATTACATCCAGAGCAACATCGTTTTAACATGCAGTGAGAATGAAGCGTTATTTAACAGAATAGTTTCTGGTTCAGACTGACATTACCTTCATGTATTCATCATAAAGTACTCTCATCACTGGCACAGAATTGTGACCCGACTTGTCAGTATTCAGCCATTTCCAGTGACCATCCATATATCAGAAGACATTCTTATATAAACAATGACATTGCCATTTCCAGTGACCATCCATATATCAATATATATCAATAAGACATTCTTATATAAACAATGACATGTTTTACTGTTATTTAGAGTAATTTAGAATAAATTCAAGTGACATAAACAGATACTGGGTCACCATCTGATGTCACTATCACTCTGTCCTCTTGCTGCCTGTTCTAGAGGCCCAAGTGCCAGGAAGTGAGACCAGGCTAAAACTCATTTTATAAACAGGGTGTGTCCTGTTTCTCCACTGAGTAGGAAAATAAGAATGTGTTTCCTAAATGACCAAATCACTGAAGGATTTAAAACCGACCTCATCTTAAAGTCAGGGTTCATGTCGGCGGTTACGATAACAAGGGAGAAGTCACGTGACTACTGCTGTGGAAACTGTGGGTGCTGCGGACGTTGACCGTTCACGACTTCCAAGATTTCACCATTCAGGCAGACACTTGACTCCATACATACAGAGTGGACTCTGTCATCATTTGACTCGGTCTTACCCGCCAATTTCATGTAAAACAATATTTGCATGCACTGGTCGACGAGTGGTGATGAGTAAACATGACAAAATAGAATCATAACGTAAGATGAAAAAGAAAAGAAGTCCATAAAAATACTACTCACCGTACCGTAGAGTCAAGTTGTCTCCTCACTTTGTTTTTCTGCAACCACATGGCTTCCTGATGTGTCAGAATCACCTGTGGCAATAAGGAAGTACTTTAAATACAGTAATAGCAGTGTTTGTTTTTTTCGCGTTCTGTCTCTTTAATGGTGAGTTCCCATTTGTAAATAGGTTGTTTTTCCCATATTCGTAAAATAGCATGCTTTATTTTTGGGAATGTATCCTTGGGCATGTGTCAAGAGGTGCATCCAGATGTAACGAGAGGGGAATGCAGCCATTCTTCAAAATGATTCTGATAAGTAATTTCATGAACACAATATCTTCCCTTATGTACTGCACTAGTACTAACCGTTCTAAAAAATATTTTAAGTGATTTTTTGTGACATTAAACCATATGCTGAACCTTATAGGTGGGAGTAGTAATACACCAAGAAGACGAAGAGGTACTCATTGTCTGGTCATTACGCCTGTGTTTCGACCATTTTGACATAGATGTCCAGGTACTCCCTCCACCATCCTCCCAAGCCTCAGTCTCACCCAAAATGCACCTAGAGTGAGGCTGGAGCTGCTGTTAATTTGACCTCATTACTGAGCTAAACGCAGAGCAGGCAGCGTGCTACAGCTAATGAGCAGTGAAGAACAGTCTGCTCTGCTCCCAGCCTCCTGTCCCAACCATTAGACAAATTAGGGAGTGGAAAATGAGTCAAAGGTTGCAGATGCCTTAATGGAAGTCGTGAATAAAACCGGGTCTCTGTACAACTAGTAATGTTTCAGTGCCTCAATTAGAGCCAGAACAGCTACTGCATGGTGATGCCAGAGAGAGAGAGAGAGTGAGAGAGAGAGTGTGTGAACATGGATGTAGAACAAGGTTGTTTTTAGGTAGGTACAGATACTTGACAAAGACAATCTCTACATCAGACCCAGATCCAGTGATTAATGTACAGTATCATCCAGTGTGCGTGTGTTTGCCGGGTGTATGTCTGTGTTAAAGTTTTTATTTTAGTATTTATGTATAAGATGGTATCTACAGCCGTGTGGGTGGCAGAGCTCCTGTTCAGGGGGAGGATAACAGCCAGGGCACCAAAAATATAGCTAGTTAACAGAACAGTTCTTCAGTAAGGAGTGGCAAAACTATTTCCAGTTGCAGAACATGATCTTGTCCACTGGCCACGTAGTCCTACAGTATCATCACAGTCTGTCATCTTGTCACATTGCCAGTCACAGACTGGGAGGTTTAAGGATTGCTGTGTTTAGACGACTTTAAGTGTTTTTACACAGCCTTGCTAAATTGTCCAAACACAGCCTCGCTGGTATTCATCTGCACTTCTTTCCAACATGGCTTACCCCGACCACACACTGGTTGTGATTGTGGAGATACAGAACAGACCGTGAGCCAAATCTTTAAAGACAAATCAGCAGCTTAGAGCTTTGGCTCAGGCTTTGTTTCAGTGTTCAAGTTAAGAGAATAATTAACTCTATGTGGGCTTGGTTGACTTGATGATAGAGAGAATGAAACTAGCATGTGAAAAATGATGTAAGCAGTTTGTACTTTGAGTTCTAAGGAATCTCCAACGGTTCCTGGCATTTATACGGATGTAATCTCACGTGTGAGACTCTGGTGTGTTTTTGCAGGTAGTAGATTGTGAGGATTTCCAAGAATCAGACAGACATCTTTGCTTGACTTGTTTCAAGAACTGTAAGTGTAGAAACTGAGATGTTTCGAAGTAGCTCATCCAGCCTCTTGTCTGGCTGGAGACGGTGCACTACAAAATCCTGTCACAGCATTGTCCTCCTGCAAAACTGCTCCAGCTGATGGAGAATGAGCAGCCATGTTTACAGCTGTACAGGTTCAAAGAGAGGCCAACAGCACAACGGACAAGAGTATGTTGGCTGCAAAACCTCCGAGTGGGAATGAAAACAAACAAACAAGGAAATTGGTTTAATGTCTCCTCTTTGTGGTGTCTTAGTGTAGTGGCTATCACGCCCGCCTTACTCACAGAAAGTACTGGGTTTGAGCCCAAGAGGAACGGCATACTTAATGGCGCCTCCTGTGGCAGCCGTGTGGGTTGCAAAGACTCCCGCTGTAGGACAAAAAAGGAACTTTTGTTATTATAATTCTCTTTTTTCAAATATTAATTATGTGATACAAAACTGACCAAGATATACAGTTGATGAGGTACATTTATTTTATTTTTTTTTACCCTATAATGGACTGGTGAACTGTCCAGGGTGGACCCAGTCCTCACCGAGTGACTGCTGGGATTGGATCCAGCTCCCACAGACCTTAAGACGATTAAGCAGAAGAAAATAATGAATGGTATTTTTGTATATTTTTTAGGCAATACCAGTGGTAGTATACCACAGTCTAGCCCCTGATTGTAAAATATGTTTTTCTCTGTTAGCTATTGGCTCTGAGGTGACTGGGTTGAACCACGAGGCCATTTTTAGGGCAGTGTTTCCAAATTATTTCTTTAGTGTTCGTGACACTGCTGACTGATTGTAACAGCTCTAACTTTGTGTGGACTTTCCATTTAAAGAACAGAAAACTAGGAATACTTGGCGTCAGTGTAAGTAAAGGGCAAACATGGAGGCCACATTAAAGGGATAAAAGGTGGGGGGGTTGGGGTCTGAGTAAATGTTAGTCTAAGACATATTCGTCACCATTTACCTAAAGAGTGTACTGCTGACACTGGCCATCATATACAAGTCAGTCAGATCATGGTGGCCTTCTCACCCCGCTGAGCCCCTGTGACCTGTCCTTCAGCCACCCCCACACCAAGGTTTTAATCCAGCTAACCTTGTCAAAATCACCAGACCTCATTCAGGGCAAGCAGATGACTCTCTGCACGCCAGTGGTCTCTATAAATAGAAATTTCATTCAGGAGCAGTACACTGAATGGGAGGTATTGTAAACAGTGACCAGGCCTAAAGCCTTGTACAGGGCTGACCGGGGAAAGCGATGGAAATTGGCATGTCATGTAGCACAGAGAGCAAGAACAGACTGACACCACGGTGCTGCTGTGTCACACTTTTTCTGGGTTTTTTTTCTTACCTCAAACTTCCGTCAAACCTACTGAAAGATAACATAGCAACAGCATCCTTCATCCAAAACAACAAAACATTATGGTCTGTGGTTTTTCCACAGTCAGAACAGATTTGCTGACAAGACTCTAGACTTTAAATTGCATTGTTAACTCCTTACACAAATTTCATATATACAAATGTACACCTTACAAATGTGTAAAACAGCTTATAATAGTAAATAACATCATCTGCAACATCTCAACCGCAAACATTAAGACCTGTTATTTTAAAAGAGGACAAAGACTGTTTGACTTGGGAACTAAATCAAAGTACTACATTCAGTTTATTGTATATAAAATATTCTATATAGTATAGCATAATAACATATTATATATGGTACAATAATATATATTATAAAATGTGTTTCTGTTACTTTTATTTTCTTTTTTCAGTTCCAACTTTGACAAATGGATGCAGTAAAAAGAACTGGACATTTTCTAGCCAAACAAATAAAGAATGACAAAAAAGGAAAGAGAATCAGGCACAGGAAGAGAGAGACAGAGAGGGAGAGACAGAGAGGTGGAACCATTCTTTAAGCCACTCATTTGATTCACAATTCACACACAGATCCCAGCCAGGGGGCAGGGATTTCGAAGAGGAGAGATCAGTAGCGGGGCTTAGCTTAAAATGTCAAATGCTTTACTCTAACTTCATGGAAAAAAAAAAAAAACGAAGTTCAGAGGAAGGGACAGACCACATGCTGGTGAGCATTTTCTCTCTAAAAAAACACCTTAAAAAAAGCAACAGGTACAGTCTGGCTGTATCCCCAGATGGACCAAAACAATGAGGCGCCTCACCTCCTGAAGGCCAGTGACACCTGAGCATCAAACTGCCACCAATTAGAGCATTAGGAGCAGCCATTTATTCTGCAGATATTAAAGAAGGTGCTAAACTCCAGGAACCATTCCCACAAACCCCGGGTGAAATTTTATCCAGAGCAGTTCTGGCAAGAGCAGGGCCCTTGAGACCCTCTGACCAAAGCAGACCCTGCCAGTCCTGGGGTAGTGAGAGAAACGGCAGACCCCCTTCATCATTGCTCCCCTTTCCTTCTCCCCCTTCTTTTAGCTCAGTTAGGGGGACTGGGTATCACAAAAACATTGTTCAGACCAGGGAAAAAAATCACATTTGCAGACCAATCAGTCACGGAGAATGTTCAAGAGCAAACGGGGGAGGAGACTGTGACTGAAGCCCCTCTCTTTTTCAGTCGATGACCTAATGCAGGTAAAGAGTGAAGCTTGGTGCAACACAGCCCCCTCTCTTCAGCCCCACACCCAAATCTTCCCATTTATGTATTTGTTGAACCTCCTGCACTGAAACCACTGCCTGTACAGAAACAGACGGGAGTTGGGCAACACACACACACACACACATTTCTATCCACAGAGAGCAAAGAAATAAGAGCTCAATGGACTCCCCAGCCTTCACAGATCCACAAATACTACTGCAAGTAACAAATGTCTCATAACTTTAACGCAAGTAGCTCCTTGTGTATCTCGTCTCAGAATGTGAAATGCGCAAAATAAAGCTTTCGGTCACAAATATTTGAAAATGGAAAAAAACATACATGTTGAAAATATTGATTGTAATGCACACAGGCTCCCTGATGTGTGTTTCGGTGGCACAGGAAATTGTGTGTTTGTATGGTGTCTGGTCTGAGGGGTGTTTCCAGGTGCTGCTCAAGTGGTTTCCTCTGATTTAGGTCCCAGAACACCTCAGCTGTCATGGTTTACCCAGGTCACATTAATACATCAGCCATCTCAGCGGACACCTGGAACTGTCTCACACAGTAACATGAAGACTGCGCCATCTCATTTTCTGACAGTGAAAACAAAAATACATATACTATGTACAATAAATAGCTCCCTCTTCTGCTCAGAGTATGTATTAAACTGTCAATTTCCAATCAAACTAAAATATCCGTTTGGTGACATAAATAAGGGCAACAGATATTTAGTTGTGGCAGCAGCAGAAAAAAAACTGTTACAAACTGAGAAGTCAATTGAAGAAAAACACTAATACATGTCCTTAATAATAATATGTTTATATATATATATATATATATTGTTGTTGTGATTATTTGTGTCATGTGTAGGTTTTCTACTGTATTAAACATCTCTCTCTGTAAAAAAAAAGTTTAGTATTTTTCTAAATGATATCTATAGAGATAGAGATATCTATTTTCCAGTAAAATTACAGAATACCGACCTTCATCACATGACGTTAAAGGAAGAAAAACAGTAACAAGTCTTATATTAGATATTCCACCCTCCTGCACATGCACTATTATCAGTCTGATTACACAAAATTTTTATCACATAAAAATTGCATTGTATGTTTACTGGCAGAATATGTGATCATGATTTTATCCAAAAGTATGTGACTTGTTTACATAATTATTAGTAGTAGTATTAGTATTAGTATTAGAGTGTTCACAGTAAGAACATAGCATCACACATTGCAATGTTTTTAAACTGCAACCTGTTGTAATTGTTACATTGTTGTAATTTATAATGCTAACAACTTTAGCTTGGATTTTTAAAAGTGTCAGGTAGGACAGGTGGATGTGCTCGTGAGAGCTGCTATAGCTAAATATTGTGATAGGTCAAAGACCATCTCACAGGAGCTCCCACTCTCCCCCTTCAAGTGGACGTGACAACGTGTCCGAGACACATTGTGAGTCAGAGGAAATCGGAGATGAACAAACAAAAGAATACAATCTCTGCTGGAAGCGGTGAAACACAGGGGGCAGGAAATAGACTTGTATTTAAGCTGATTACCCGAGCGGTGTCCCTGCTCTTTTTAGCAGCTCAAAACAGCCTGGCCCCTCCACTGCCAACGCTGTTAATTAGAGATTGGCTATAGGGAAAAAGGCAGCCTTGTCAGACTTGGAGGAGTGTTAGTGATGGCTGGCTGGAGGGGGACATGCAGAGCTCTTAATTGGGTCTGTGGGCTGTATCAGTGGTTGGCCGCAGCACTGGTGATGATTGCTGTGAGCAGGTGGCCATGGTGGCAGCTCTGTGCAGTCCATCCAAGGCCAGCCTGTCTGTTCTTGTCAGGACCTGGAACACTGAGCAGACAGCTTCTGAGCCTTACGCCCATTACGTCAAGTTGACTACCCCGTTGCTTGGCAACGCCCTCATAGGCCCTTCAAAACACATCCCCCTGGTCCAACAATGTATGCTGCAGTTTTGGAGGACTACGCTAGAGTCCAACAATGGAGCAACATATGAAGTCACTCTGTGGAGTTCTTTAATACAGCATGGTATAAAAGAAAGACACTTTCTCCATCAGTTAACAACGTTCACTACATTGCTGGTCTGTCATGACCAAAGTGCATGTCAAAGGGTTTCTTTATAGCTGCTGTATTGGAGTCAATGGGCTCTATCAGTGAGAATGACAGAACTGAATGTACTATGATGTGAACTTCCACAAATACACATATATAAATAATGTATTATATAGGAAGAAATGTCATTGCTTTGATATGAATTGATAGAGTGCAGCGAAATCATGACTTTTAATCAGTGCTACACGTAGCTTGTACCATTGTCTATGTTTACTGGAATAATAGAATCAAATATTAACAATTTCAAATGTGTTCCAAATTTCAGATTTTGGCAAACGACAACTTTGTGAATATATTATTCATATAATTAACAACAAACCCTGGTGAACTGTGAATGTAGGTTTGTTCTTAATGGAGCAATGATTCTCCAGTCCAGTGGGGAAATCCATGTCCCCACAGGGCCTGACGTTTCCTTTGCTGTGGTTAGATTATATTGGATAGTGGTCAGCACAAGTTTCATGACTCAATGATATTTTCATGAATGCTACAACGAAGTGTAAAAAACAAATCAATCATGTCAGAGGTTGACTGGATGGACTTTGGAGAAGGGCAAGTGGAACAGGACCTTAGCTGGAGAATGACAGGAAACTGAGGAATGACATCAGCTGTGGCACAGTGCAAGGCTTGTTCAATGAAATGGAGAAATCAGACAGCTTCTATAACTTCTTTTAATACACCGAGCACACCTCTAGTCTCAAAGAGTGACTTGAAAAAGGACATTTTCATACAACCACAGAAGAAACTGGAGTAGGGTTGGAATTTAGTCAAAGTCAACATCACCCCCTGAAAGGCAGTGACTAATCTGGCAGTAGTCGATGTTATTTTCACTTCTCTTGCTCAAAAGGGTGGTTTGAAACTAAGACCAGACCAATGTTTTATTTTTTTTCTCTCTTTTACAGCGCTGCGGAGGATCTTAAATATTTAAGTTGATTTCATTCAATCAACAGTTCAGTAAATGACACCCCGAGTCCCCGTGGTCCTGTCAGTGCCGGCCACCGGGTGGTGAAAAAGGTCAATGTTAAATCATAGCCTCACCCTTCAGGCTCTCTCTAACATAACAGTCCACACAAGGACTTGGTCTACAGTCTGTTGTGCTGCTCTGGTTACCGCACCAGAAGTCAGGGACAAGCTCTTAACCCCACAGCCTTTTTCCCCTGTGCCAGACGGCAACAGTTTAAAACCTGGAGCATGATGACTTGTCACAGGCAGTTTGTATGTCTGGAATGTCTCAGTTTGTGCACTCAGAATATCTAACAAGTTGGGCGCTGTTTCTTAAGATAAGAGCCCCTCTCATGTGCGATGAACAAAGTGAGTGCGGCCAGAGCTACCACATTCACATGCAGCTGTGTCTTCCCCGGAGTTGCACTTAGGCTGCAGGTGCTAGAGCTCACCGAGAAAGTGCTTCAAAATCTTTTTTTTTTGTCACCGTGTTCACACATTCCTCCAGCCAGTGGACCTGCACCGCCTTCATATTCCTGTCATTCTTGCAGTTGCGTCTTTATATACAAATGAACCCGTTAACCACAATAACTAGTATTTGAAATGAGCCGGATTTAAACACACAGACAGAATGACGTGTACTGTACATCCAATAATTCCACAGTCCATCAACCTATCGTTGCACAGTCCATACACATGTTTATACGTACTGTGGGAAAACATTTTTGTTTCACTGAAGCATCCTGAGGTCATCTCAACGCCCGGCATGTGTCTGTGAAGGCTTCAACTGCAACAACTGACCATCTGACTGATACAACTGTCAAATGGAACACAAAGCACTGTAGAACAAAAGGACAATGACTTACACTGCAGTTTTAAAAGCAACTCTCAAAGCGTTCAAGCCAACGTCAAGATGCACAGTAATGGCTAAAAACCACTAGCTCTAAGCAAATTATATTTTTGCATATATTTATTGACATTTTTCAATATCCCATCATTAAATTTAGGCAGGGATTAGGTACGAACACTGTTGGCTGAGTATTCAGGAAATCACAGACATGATGACAGGCTGATTACCTCCAATACATTTCACCTGTACATTTCAAAACGCATATTAAAAAAAGGTCAGGTCAGTTGCTAAGAGAATCTGATGGAAAAGATGCAAAACAGCATCCGTTGCCACATTGTAGCTTGACTCTGTCTGACCAACTACCAGGATTGTCTTTCTTCAGCAGATTCACTCTGGCCAGTGTACTGTGGGTTTATCACTATTTCCAGAGCCAGATAATTACACTGATATTTGACAAGTACCTACTGCGATGCTCACTGAACCCACACAAGAACTCTTACAAATATTATACTACCTCTAGAAACTAAAACATGACCACATGGAATACATGACATGTACTGCAATTAGTTAGTCCCGTGGGAATTGTCTGATCTTTAAAACACTTTTACTACTTAGACATTGGGAGGGATTTGAGAGTCAAAGAGCTCATTAAAAGATTCAAACAATCAGAAGGGTTTGGTGTTAATAAATCATCCAGGGAAGAAGAAACAAAGGTTGAGATTACAGGGATAATAACTTGGGGAGTCAAGGGAGGTGAGAAACACAGGCCAGAGCACCGGAGATTATGCAGAAGGAGGGAGAAAAGGAGAGAAAGAGAGAGAGGGGAGGGGGGAAGGGGGCAAATGCAATTAATCACATAGTCATACAGACTGCTGGAGGTGTTCCTGAGCTGGTTTTTTTGCTTTGCTCTCAGGAGAAAAACCAGCAGAAAAGAAAAACCACGTACGGGTGGTCAATTAGTTTACAAGTTTCAGCTGCGGACAGAACACTCTGCTCAGCCGTGGTCCCACCAAACACTGACCAAACCACATCGCATCAGAGCCCGAGCTCATCCTGTGATCCGGCACGTTCCCAACATGAAAAGGTTCACACTGTTCTTCACAACCAAAATCAACAGCCTTTGATTTGTTCTGTATTAACAATCATCCAGTGTAGCCTCTTCTGTTTCCCACAGACCTCCTCAGGTCCCAACTGGGCCATCAATCAGTCAGTAAAGAGTTGGACCTACATCGAAGTCTGTGATTCTTTAATGCAGTTGCATTAAAGCCCAAATTTTTTTATTGGAAAGTCTCCCCACTTCACGGCCATCAGAAGTCAGCTTTCATGTCACTTTTACAGTCATGTCCCCTGGACCAGATCCATCAATTCTGTCTTCTATGCATTTTTTTCTTGTCCATTTTTCTATACAGTTGCTGTTGTTCCGTCCTGCACCCTTTGATGCAGTATCATGACGTCTGTGTCGACTCGATGTTAAAGTCAGATAAAATGTGACGTCACTTTCAAGACAGAGCTGCTTTATGAAATCATTAGGATGAGGATGGCATCAAAGCCAGAGTAAGCGCAGCGCTAAACACTCACACACGCAGGCAAACATTCCGCTGCTGATAGACAAAAACCACACTGTGGATCAGAATGTTCTTCTGCGGATAACCTGGTAATTAACACTATTATCAATCATGCTTTGTAAACCGGTGACAGCGCGCTCACTTAGATTAACCATCTGTCTGATTAATGTGAAAGCTTTTAATGTGCCAAGAATTAATGCACACTGGGTCGTTGCATGTCCATGTGGCGTGCAGCGGAGGGTGTGATTGTCAAGGGACATTTTCACCCCATGATGTAAGAACCAATTATTTAGCCATATCTGTGGTGATGCACATCATTGTGCTAATCAAAATGGCATGTGGCCCTATATTTCTCTTCCCATTTATGAGTGTATGGTAATTTCAAAACAGGAAATGTGAAGGTGTGACTTCTTCTTTGAAAACCCAAGGCTCTATTTGCTTTCATAGTTTCATGTTGTGATAAATCATTTATCCATTATAAAACTGTACTATTATCATCATTATTAGTTATAATTATTTTGGCTGTGTGTGAGGGCTTTTATTTAAAACTTTATATTTGTAGACATTTAATATTCTTGAACGTCTTTTCTCGATTTTTATATTGTACTGTACTAGGCGTATAACTACAGTTGCATTTAAAACAACAAGTCATCTTTTAGCTACTTCCAGTAATGCAACCCAAAGCATTTTCTGCGTTGGAACCCAACAAAGAAGCAGCAGGTGAGGTCAACAGGATTAGACGAGCAGCTTCTTGGGTCTAGACTTAGATAGACTGCTTTAACCACAGATCACCTGACCTGACAGTTATGTATGTATGTATGTATGTAAAATAACATACAAACATCACACTGATTGAAATCTAATTTAAGTAACACTAAGATTCTTATTAATGACCCAGGTAGTAGGTCGGTACTTCAGCAAATTCCATGTTGAATTTTGGTTTTTGTAATGAAATCATCTTTAAGCAGCAAAATCTTTACTTTTTATCTTTTTCAGGACACAAAAAAGCATTAAAATGTCAAATTTGTCATGAGAGGGCCAACAGCAACAATGACAGTGAGGGAGAGAGGTATACTCACCCAGGAACCCAGGTGAGACGAGTGAGGCTGATTCACAGAGAAGCACTGGACACAGGTCAGGTTGATGAAGACAGACCTGAAACAATTGAGCATTAAACTTAAGAACAATCAACAATAAAATATAATAGGTATAATGTTTAATATTGAATAGGACAGACTAAAAAAGAACATGTTTATGTTTATATATTTTTATAGTCATTTTATAGCCCTGAGATAATGTTGGTAACATCTGTTATAAATTATGTAGGTGCTTTGCAACATGAGAGAAAATAATCCTTGATAAAAGGAAAGAAACTGCTAACCTAAAACACACCTTTAGCACCTACCAGTGACAAATGACAGGAAACAACACAGTACAGAGGGAATATACAAATATGAGATTTCCAGTTTTATTTGGTTTAACCTTAGCATCATCAATCTTACACCTTATGAAATCCCAGCATACCGTTGACCATTATTCTTATAACCACTGCTCTTTAAAATAAAGCCTTCATTTTTTTTCTTCATAAGCTCACATCTCTGTTTTCTTTCAGCTGCTCTGCTTCACTGCTTAAACTGAAGATTGAGTCATAACTTCCCAAAAGTGCTTTTCAAAGGTCTCCCCACTTCTCCCTCTACAGCTCCCCACCCTCTCCCTCATCTGCCATTTGGGAGGCCCCTCATCCAACATGTCTAGTGCTGCATTCCACAGACAGTAGGAGCATTTTCAGGCTTTGCAGAAGCATAGACAGACCACCACTCTACGGCACCACGGCATGCAGGGGGGAGACGAGCTGCAGCCTCAGCTGCCACTAGGCCTCAGCACAAATCTCATGTACTGCAGAGGTGAACTCAGGATGGATGGCAAAGTCTTTGTGATGACAAGAAGAAAACAACTGTCGTGCTCGGTACAGTAGTCTAATAAGTGTGTAGCATTAGCCACCTTCCTTTTTAAAAAACTGTTCTAAACACAACTTGTACGCCACACAGAAAAACAATGTTTCTCACCCTGAAACTTTCACTGAAACATTCTTTTATATAGTCATACTTTTAAAGTCAATAGATACTTACAACTTACTTATACTTACTTAACAAAGTGGCTGCATTATTTTCTAATACATAAAATGAATATTTTCTTTAGTTAACCATATTTTTATACAAATTTTAATATTGATGAATAATATGTTCATCAGCTCAGTGATTGTTTTTGGGCTCATCAATCTAAGTTTTAAAGAACCAGAAAATCTCACACTTATTTGATTTTAAGGGTGAGTGTTGGTACACTCTGAAAATAATGCTCTTTGTGTGCTAAGAGACAGATACATTTGAGATTGGTTTCTGTGATTACCATGCAACATCTGGATGACGTTAGTACAGGAATTCTTTAAAGTACCTAATGGGCCTACTTACATTTTTTGAAGACTGACTAGAGGCGTTTTAGATCTTGTTTTCTCGTCAACTTCATCTGTGGTTCATATATGTTTCTGCCAAATGTGTTACGTTGATTTTTCGTTTCTATGTTTGTGTTTTTTCTGTGCATAGGGTTCAATTGAAAACCTTAAATATGGCTGACAGGTTTGCTTTGTAAATAGCATTAGTAAGGTGTTTTGTTTTGTTTGTTGGGTTGTTTTACTTTTAACGGTCTACAATATGTAGACTAAAAGGTTTCTTGTAGACTAACGCATTCTGTTCAGTCAAGACGAAGGAAATTGATACATTCAAACCACAAGATGTCGCCAAAATAACGGTCCGCTAATGGTTGCCTTTACGTGCTCTTGATTAATTCCAAACAGTTAAAATTCGAATGTGTTATTGGCATTAGTATAACAATTGCAAAATAATTTAGTAAATTTAGGACAAAGCGCTTTTTTTGGTCTTGCTCGACGGACTACAATCAATTGAAAGTCGGAAATAAGTCAAACCATTGTAATAAGGACGAATGTAACAACTTAACTAACTTAAGGAAATACTTCATTATTTAAAGAACGCATTTCTGGTGTCGTATTGTATCAAGTCAAAGTATAAAATAAACTACCAACCGTCTTATTTTGTCTTCGAGAAAACTATTAAGGAATTTCCAACAGCATTTTTGCTGCACTCGAAACCGGATATGACGACATAAGCACGGGAAGTAAACTTTATCTTGTGCTATGTCTTCATACAAAACATGTTCTGCATGTAAACGCATTTGATATCATTATGGAGTTGTAGGTAAGATTTTTTAATACATTTGCTTTGTTAAATATGTACCATTTTCAATTGTGTCTTTGTATCATCGTCATCGTCATTCAGCTAAAAGGATATACTGTATACAGGCTACGCAGGTCTTTAGCAGTGACATCATGTGTTGGTTACCCACAATAAATCTAGGGACTCCCGTTTTGTCGGTTTTTAATATGATAATGGTATATTTACTCACACCTGCTTTATTTCATAGTTTTATTTGGTCTTATTTGATGAAATAAGACGTGAATACATTCTATCAAAAAATAGACTAAAATGTACAGTAAAAGAGAATACAGCTGAGGCTCTACCCCCAAACCCATTGGATTTTTTATTCCAAAGTATTAACATCATACAGACACGGCGTTTTAATACATTTGTCCTCAGTTATGAATATATCACCTGACTTGGTGACTAAAGGTGAACATTCGAACAAATCCTCTTCATATTTAGTTAGTAACAGTTGCCACTATTGCGTAATGTTAATGGGCGCTTTCTTCCCATTAGTGCTAAAGGAATGGTCTGAGTTCAGCGGCTCCCATAAAAATGCACAGCCGTCTGCAGGAGCTGAAGAAAGAGGAGGAGACTCTCCTCAAAATCAAAGTGATGTTGCAAGATCAACTGAACAGACTGAAGGTGAGTAATATTAATATTAATCGATATATGTAAAATGTGTGTGTGAGAGAGAGAGAGTATTACATATAAATAATTCATTGTATGTGCACTTCTTTTTTCAGTTTGAAGAAGGTGCCTTGAAATCCATCATCCATGCTCAAATGGAACAAGGAGCTTCCCAACACCTTTCCCCTGAACCTGAGGTAAATGATTGGGTCGGAGATTGAGTTTAAAGCCCTGCAGAATTCCAATTAAATAAATTTGTCATACTTTGTTTACTCACTGACATGAGGGTTACCATTACATACATTCAGTTTTATTCAGGTCATAGACAAACCCAATAATTATCACTAAAATTGGAAATCATTGACCAGAAATATCATTGCCTAAAAAACCTATACATTTTAGTCAAACAAATTAAAATAATGGAAATAACTTAATTTCAGGTTCATGTTAATCTCGATGATGAAAGTGAGATCAATCAAACCAAACTTCTGCTGAATGCTGCTGGAGATTATGATATGGAGGAGGAAGAGGATGACGATGATAACAGAGAGGAGGAAGAAGATGAAGATGAGGACAGTGAGCTTGAACGTGTGCTTGAAGACGAGGATGAGGATGAAGATGGTTACTAACTTTTTCAGTAGTCCTCCAGGCTTGTATGTTTGTACCACTGAGTGTAACAGTTTGCTGCTCTCTGCTTTTAATTTATATGGATGGCGTAATAGGTAGTACAAGTACAATACAATGTGTGTTGACTGTCTATATGTTATTGATGTTTAATTTGTTGGAATTCATGCGTCAAACTTGAGAGAAATGTATCACCCAAATACGAAGTACACTTTGTTATTAGGTGCTAGCTCACTAGAATATTTGCTTCCTGAAAATAAGAAACTGAGCAGAAATTCACTTAAGAATTAAATATGAAGATGTGTCTTAAAGCGTGGAGATGTATGGCTGGGCCATATAGGAATATTGTGTGTATTTGTGACAAAATAATAAAACAAAGCACAAAATAAAATGTTTTGCATAGGGTTGTTCAGACTCGTTTTACACTTTGTACGTGTGTTACACAGAGGTGTAAACTGTTCCGTATCTTTGGAATGAATCTAAACTAAAAAGTATTTCCTTTGTAACCATTTCAGTCTTGAAGTAGTCGCAATGCATCAACATGAGATTTAATTAAACAGATGTTATTGTTAAAAGTAAAGAAAAGGACACAGTTCTTTTTCTCTCCATCACTGGGGTTAATACCCATGTTCACCTGTTCAATACGTAATGCAGTGCAAACACTTTCCATTATCCAACTGTTCAGCATTTTTCAAGCATCAAAAAACAAAGCAGCGAGGCCCCCCAACAGGCACAGCTTTGAAAAAAGGTCCTGCAGCGATAACTATCTTTATGGACAGCTTTCTACAACCACTGCCATTTGCCCAGAGACTGGGGTTGAGCACACACCTGATGGAAATGAAATCTTCATAAGGTAAAAAAAAAAATTGAATGTTCAATGTGAACTGTAGCTTCAGTTAATTGTTATTCTTAAGGATATTTTTTAAGAAGTTTGGATTTTTTTTCAATGGATTACACTCATAACATTAAAATAGTTATGAAAAGAAATGAAACTGGACATCTGGAGTGGAGTGACCTTTTCAGTTTTGACTTTTTTCATTATTTTTCCTAAATGTAAATGTTTTCAGTTAGATGTAAATATTTTATTGTCATGTGATTTCTTTTTTTAAAACAGTTTTTTCAAATTGCTCTTTCAATGATGAAACCGTACTTTGTATGGTAACTGTCTGCTTCAGCAAGATGAACTTACACTCTGTTGAATTTGAATAGGTTCACCACATGGTTCAGCATTGGGGCATAAATACATTCTGGAGCCTCACAGTGGACCCAACAGAAGGATCAGTATTTTAATATATTTGGATGCACTGCTCTCTTTGTGCAGACAACATCGAGGTACCAAAGCAGAACCAAAGAGTGACTGTGCTGCAGGCACAAACATACCATGCTCCTAAACTGTGCATTCAGCGTGTGCCATGTGCTTATGTTGGTGCTGTGTCTGTCTGCGGCTGAGGACTTTGACTGGACAAAGAACGAACACGGCTCCTTCTATTATGGCACTTTTCCAACTGGTACTTCTATATTCCCTTTCATGGTTTTATTTTTATTTATGAGTCTGGTCGGAGTTGAAAGGCTGATGCTCATTTTACTTGTCAGGATTTTCATGGGGCGTTGGCAGTTCGGCCTATCAAACAGAAGGAGCCTGGGACAAAGACGGAAAAGGACTGAGCATCTGGGATGTGTTTACTCATAAAAAGGGGAAAATCTACCAAAATGACACTGGTGATGCTTCCTGTGAGAGCTACTACAAAATCAAGGTGGGTGGGAATAGGTAAGGCCCGACTCCAAGAAATGGAAAGGAGAAAAAAAAAAAGTTGTTTTTTTTTTTTGATAGGATGATGTTTCTTTAATGAAAGAGCTCAAACTGAACCACTACCGCTTCTCCATCTCCTGGCCTCGACTAATCCCCACTGGAGTACGGTGTAAGTTTCTGTGACTGGGGTGTGTCCTATCTACCAGTGCGTTCTGACTGCCTTGTGTGCTAAACACTTACTCACACTTTGCAGCTGACCATGTCAATGAAAAGGGAATCCAGTACTACGACCAACTGATTGACCACCTGCTGGAAAACAACATCACTCCCATCGTCACTCTGTATCACTGGGATCTGCCCCAGGTTGGTATCAGAGTCAATGAAACCTAAAATCTTCAGTATTGTCACATACCGTAGCTGTGCTGCTGTTTCAGTCTGATGAACGGAGGCTTTTCTGATTTATTATCAGGTCTTACAAGAAAAATATGGCGGATGGCAGAACGTCAGCATTGTCAACCATTTCAATGATTTTGCCAATCTTTGCTTTGAACGATATGGTGACAGAGTCAAGTACTGGATCACTTTCAACAATCCGTGGGTAAGGTTTAGGGGGATTTTTTTTATCTGATTAATCGCAGGTTCATTTTGGAGGTAGATCTATGTTTTTTCACATTTGTTTTTATTTGTGACTTGACTAAATTATTAACATGGAAAATGTCCATTTTCTTTCATTCACTGGAATTGTTTTACTTTTCTCAACCACAGTCTGTAGCAGTTGAAGGCTATGAGACTGGTGAACATGCTCCTGGAATGAAGCTGAGAGGAACAGGCGCCTACAGAAGCGCTCACCACATCATAAAGGTACAACCATGAAAAAACGTAACAAGTTAACCTGTAACAACTACCAAAATCTCGATTACTTATTAACGATCATCTTTTTCACAGGCACATGCAAAAGTTTGGCACACGTACGACACTCAGTGGAGAGGGAAACAAAAAGGTACTGTTTACACACGTCGTGGTTGTCTTCTCTCCACCAGAACATGTTAGAGTTACAGCACGCCTCTCTCACCGTAGGCCAGGTCGGCATCTCTTTGTCTGGAGACTGGGGGGAGCCGGTGGACATTAGCAACCAAAAAGACATCGAAGCAGCTGAGAGGTTTGTCCAGTTCAACCTGGGCTGGTTTGCCACGCCCATATTCCATGGAGACTACCCTCAAGTGATGAAAGACTTCATTGGTGCGTTGTTGTTTTGTTTTTGTTGTTGAGGCCGAGCACCTGTTAGAAATAAAATCATCACGTGTTGCGATCGTTTCTGTAGGAAGGAAAAGTGCGCAGCAGGGACTGGGGACGTCCCGACTGCCTACCTTTGCTCCCCAGGAAAAAAGTTACATCAAAGGGACCTGTGACTTCCTGGGCATTGGCCATTTCACCACCCGCTACATCACCCAAAAAAACTACCCATCAGGCCGCAGTGGCAATAGCTACTTCACCGACCGTGACCTGGCTGAGCTGGTTGATCCTCGATGGCCTGACCCTGGGTCAGAATGGCTCTACTCTGTGCCCTGGGGTTTCAGACGGATGCTGAACTTTATCAAGGTGGGTGTAGAGCGTATCAGGTACATCAGACACTCAGGACTACATAACGTATTTGCAGTGATTGCAACACATCTACTTCATGTTCCTTTTTCTTCTTCCGTATTTAGACTCAGTATGGAAACCCAGTGATTTACGTGACGGAGAATGGAGTCTCTGAGAAGACGCAGTGCACCGAGCTCTGTGATGAGTGGAGGATACAGTATTTTAAAGACTATGTCAATGAGATGCTTAAAGGTGAATGCACTCAAACAAACCAACGTTTTCCCCACACAATGGGAGTTCAAATCTAATCCACTCTTCTTTTTTTTTACGTTCAGCTATCAAAGACGGGGTCAACGTAAAAGGCTACACCGCGTGGTCCCTGCTGGACAAGTTCGAGTGGGACGAAGGATACTCTGAGAGGTTTGGCTTGTACTACGTCGACTTTGGCAACAAAAACAAGCCCCGTTATCCTAAAGCCTCGGTTCAGTTTTACAAACGTATCATCAGTTCCAACGGATTTCCCAATCAGAGAGAGGTAAGAGAAGAGACGCAGACGCCGTCATGTCATATTATTACCACACACAGCACAGACACTTTTCTGATGTGTAACTGACTGAGAAATTTGAACAGGTTGAGAACTGGAGGCGGAAGTCGATTGAGACATGTTCTTCCAGCAGCCAGCTCCTGGCAGCAGGTACATTTATCACCAACATTTATTCCTATTACCTTACCACAGCAGGGGTAAACAAACAAGAATACTGTGGTTATTAAAAAAATTTAAAAAATTGAAATTATTGAGCAGCAACAATCATGTGAGCTTTTTTTTTTTTTTTTTTAAATAAGATCAATTTAAAAAAAAAAGATTGACAGAATCACCATCTTAAGTTCTTCTTTGTTTGCCCCTGCAGCTAGAAGAAGGTCCAAGGAACATGCAGAAATGCCAAAGGTTTGGCCAGTGCATGACGAAGTTTAGACTTTTATGGTATAAGTCTTCTGTTAATTCTTGCTTTAAGAATGCAGTGTGTGTCTGAGAAACAGTCCATCATCATGTCTGCTTCCCCAGATGTGTGTGTGTGTGTGTGTGTGTATATATATATATATATATATACTTACATATATGACACATATGACTTTTTGGTCAAAGTTGCCACAAAGAGCAGATATTCAGAATTCATTGTTCACAAAAACCCATCAAAGCTCATGACGACGACTGCTTTTATATGTGGTTGAGATGAAGATGAATGACTGTTTCTGATGCTAGCAGCTATCAAAGGGGTTAAAATTTCACTTGAAGTCATTTCTGTCTTTTCATTAGAGCTACAGCGGAACACTGTTGCCAATATTCTAAGACTTATCCATGGTAAGAAATCTCTCGCATCAAATTATTAATTCGATAACTAGTTAATTAGAGAACTTAATTAAGAGAAGACATTAACCCTTTGATTGCTGTGACCGAGCATCATTTCTTGCCAAACAGCAACCAAATGAATCATTACTTTGCTAACGCGAACTCACTGTGTGTTCACAGATCCCCTGACCAGCCACATGGAGATGGTGACGGAGATCGTCGTACCCACCGTGTGCACACTTTCCATTCTGCTCAGTGCCATCTTGCTTATGTTTTTGTTGCGGAGGCGAAACTAGACGTGCGTGTGTGTTTAAAGCAACAACACAACAATGGAGCAGGTTTGAATGCAACCCCGGTATTTCAGATGTACTTGGGGAGATTACTAATGTCATTCATTTGACAGGTACAAATCAGTGTGAACAGTCCTGCGACAAGTTTGACTTCACTAATAAAACACTGCTGTGGAACTTCACTGTCACTGTGACTTTAGAAGCTTGACATTCACTGTCACCGTGACTTTAGAAGCTTTTTAGACGTTTTGTTTAAGGATTTACAGCTGCTATAGCAAACAGTTTATATGATACAATATATTAATGTGCAAGCTACATTTTACTTTATACATACACAGATTTCAGAGTTATTTCAGCATAACTTGACCACACTGGCGCACACCATGGCGGAGAAAAACACAGGATCCTCACTGTCACCATTGGTTTCATCCAGGATACCTGGAAGGGAAGTGGATTTGATTTGAAGTTAATGAATGAATGCAAAAACATAAGGCACACATTTTGGTTTTATAAGAATCACCTGTTGAAAAGTTGACATGGTCACACAGTGGTCTGTCACTCAAATGCAAGGATGTTCTGACCTCATGAGGGCTATGACCACTGAACACCTCGGCCACCCACTCAGTTGGTTGCTCTCTGTTGACCATTAGAAACAATAGACATATTCAGACTCACTGTGGATTAACACAGAATGGAATAGAAATCTCTGTATCTGCCACATCAGTGTGCCTTGAATAAACAATCACTGTTTTTACTGTAAATAACAAGGATGGAAGGACACATTTTTCAGCCTTACTTCTGATAAAAATGGCTGATCAGAGCTGATTTGATTTTGAGCTTGAATTCATGTTTCTCGTCATATGGGTTCGTTTTGTAGTGTTCTGAACACATCCTGGTGGGGGACAAAAAGGAATAGTATAACGTCATTCAACTGCCTTAATGACAAAATCAAGAACTGAAATGCCTCTGCAGGATCAAGCTCAGTTTACTGTGTTAGCAGAAACAGACGGTCATAAGGCAAACCCAGGAATGTACGGCAGGTGACGGTTGTTTCCAGTAGATGGTGCAGTTTCCTCAGTCGGCTCACTTGCTCTTGCAGGTCCACTTCGGTGCTGAGGTAATAACACTGAGGAGTAAAATATTTAAACTCAGTCCCTTATTTAAAAAAATTGATTTTCTGGTTATTTGCCAAGCTAAACCTGAAGCTCACCAAGTGGTTCAGAGTGGCCAATTCTTCACCTGAGGAGAAAGAATATAGGTTTATAAACACTGGTTCCATGAGCAAAATGCTATTAAAAAGTTTAGTTGATTCAAATTTTATACATAGAAAGAAAAAAAATGTTTACCAATGAGATAGTTAACATAATCCTTCCTTATTTTGTCCAGTCCCATTTCCAGCAGCATGTGGATAGGAGTGAGACCCGTGAGAGACACGTCGATCTGCTGCTTGTGGGACTGTAGGATGAGTTTACTGAGGGAGCTATTGCTGTCTTTGTGAATCTGGAGGAAGTCAAAAAAACAACATATTAATAAAAACAATTAGCAGATGTTAACATAACTTTATTTGGGATTTATAATTTCCAAAGTCCAACATACCCAGGGTTTGATTTGTCCATTACTTAGAGTTCCAATGACTAATTTCAGACTATCTGTAATGTCCTGATATGATGCCACACCTGTAAAAAGGAACATACACAGATTACAATCACTGTCTGATTCTAATGTATGATAATACATAAAGACAACAACAACAAAAAACTCACTCTTTCTCAGGCGGACCCACAACTCTTCCACAAAATCAAAGTCGCTTCGTTCCAGGAGAGACAGAGAGAAAATGGGAGTGTCTGTCTCAGGCTTCACCTCTTTGGTCTTTAAAGAAAAGAAGTTAGAAAGTTGGAATTAATATACTTAATAAATAAATAAATAAAATACCAAAAGTATTTTACTTACATCTTCTGTTTTTGTAGGCCGGTCCTGGGATGTTTTTGCAATGTCTTGAATCTCTAAAAAACATAAATAAATAAAGCACACATTTTGTGCTGCTTCAAGTGTTTAATTATAAAAATTGTGTTCTTGAGAAACGGAATACTGCACCTTCCAAATAGGCCTTGGTGAGCTTTATAGCAGATGTACTCTCCAAAGGTTCTATCCATTCGGTCTCACCGGTTCTCAAACCATCAGCAAGAGACTGAGATAACAAAAGTCTGTTAAATATTTGTTTTTACCTGTGTCTTAATCTTTCATCATACAAGTTCACTCAGAGACACTTTTTACCTGTGTCTTAATCTTTCATCACACAAGTTCACTCAGAGACAACCTGGAGAAACTCCAGCTCCCTGTACATGTCAGACATGGGGCTCCTCAAGTCCCCAGTGGCAACTCTGATATTCTGTAAACCAACAAATAAACAAATCAAAAACATCTAGATCTTATGTAAATCAGATACATTACTCACTTTATAATTCTACAGTCAGACCAGTTGGTTCTTTTATAATTGATCTTGGCAGGAAGAGAGACGAGGAGACAAGGAAAATCTCTTTCCTCAATCCCCCCCCTTCTCCTGCACCCTGTGTGTGACTCTATTTGAAAAACACTCTTTTTTTGGTCACAATATTTTCACATAGGTTGACATGTTGTATCTGCAGCTGATAGAGAAAAGCCCAAAACAGCTCATTAGGTTTAGGTCGTGGTAACAACATGGACAGATATGATTATAAAATGTCACTTTAGCCTGTAAAAAAAATTTAAATTGATTTCACATGTAGCGATTCAACACAAACATATTAATACCAAGTTAACATCAATAGTGCAGTTGCTGAGGCTGCTCACCAGTGTGGCTGTTGAGGACAGAGGTGGGGTTTCCAGGACGCCGTCTACATGACTCCAGTTTAAATCCACTGTTATACTACTCTGTGACTTAATCAAGGTGTTTTCAACAACAGTGGAGCCAAACAAGTTGAACCTGGCAGTGCCTTTTGTTTGCATCTGTAGACATAAGTCAGATGTGAAGCATTACATTTTCAATGACATTTACTGGACAGTGAGGATGTGCACTTACCAAGGATGTGTGATGTCTTTTCTTGTGTTCTCTCTTGACCTCATCCAAGGTTATTAAAGCTTCTTTGTTTACTGCTGAGTCTATAAAAAAATTGCAATATTTTATGAATAAATACTTGGTGAATGAAATAAGAAAAACGCTATACAGAATTTGCGTCATACCTTTACTGGTTATAGAGTATAATATAACACCAGATACATTAGTTCCTGTGCAGACTGTTTCAGCTCCCATCCACATTGTTTTAGCAGGATCAGACATATCACAACGCACCCACAAAGGATGCAGAGCTGCATTGTTGGCCACACCTGACACACAAGGGTTTTGAGATAATGTGTACCAAGATAGTATCTGCCTGTCAACAGAGACAAAACTTATGTTTTCACAAGTGAGGTATAGTTTATACACACAGTACACACACTCTAAAAAGTCCTAATGGTATTATTTTAGTTGGACAACAGGTTACATTTCTTATGGTCTCTTACCGTGCTTTCATGACTGTAAGTGGCTGGGGACTCGGTTCAATTTGGTCTACATCGTTTTCGTCATTTGCATGATCTTCATCATCAGTGTGTGAGGACTCATTCATTTTAGATTCATCATTTCCATTTGATTTTGGATCCTTAGAAATACAAATATAAGAGGCAATGACAAATATCACTTTACCTGTGTCCTAAATGTTCCATAAGTACAGACCATAGACTCATTTTTTTAGAATTACTCACAGCTTTTTGACAAATAATAACCATTGGGTTTTCACAGTATTTACTGACAACAGGAACTGTATCTCTCCTTAACTTTAATATTTGAAAATCGTCCTGAAATGGAAAAAGAAATGACATTAGGATTTCAACTGCCATGGTTCAGTAACAAATCATATGCATATTTTTCTTCTACGTGTGTGCCCACTTTTATTCTAAATGCAAAGTAATAATAAATAAGTGCTTGTGAAAATCAATTTTCCATTTCAAGATATAACTTCATAGCCGTTTTCCAACATCGCAATAGTGATAGACTAACAGGAAAAAAATACCTCATATATACAGTGATTGTTGTTTTCCTCTTTTTGAAATGATCTGTAAACCAGACAACGGTTAACACGGCATTACATACGTCTGTACATTAAAATATTCTTTATCTACTATGAAGACTTGCTGAGATTACGTTAAAAAAAAAACTTACTGAAGAAAATCGAAAAATCCCCTGGCACTAGCTACCGTTCTCGATGCCATTTGGGTCGCACACGGTAATCCTGGAAGCAGACTTAAAAAAAAAAAAATAGGACAGAGAACAGGTTTTAGTTCAAAAACCACCAAACTTTGTTTGACGCTATTTAATCACTCGCGCGCTCGCGCAGATATATTGACGTCACTCGGTCAAGGGTCACCAAACTTTTTAAAATTAAAAATACACGAGAACAGGGGAAACTATTAAATCCACGTGAAACGACTATTCCGCATATGTAGGTAAAATATAAATACCAAAAATAAAATAAAACTAAGTAAGAAATGAAAAAGTAGTTCGGCAGGTAAGGTAATCTTTCGCCAACACAGATAAAAAAATAGTCCCCTCTCTTACAGCCGGATATAAGACCTATTGTTTATATTTGGGGTTTTTATTAAAGTACAAATAATATTTTAGATTTGTGTAGTGCTGTAATCAAAACAAATCGGTCAAGCAAAGTAGTTTTAGGATTATAGCTCTAAGCGGAAGTTGTTCACGCTATGGCGGAGACATAAAGCATTCAAGACGATTTACCAACTTCCTTTTTACTGTGGCCGCCATAGCGAGTGGAGCGTGGTTCCCGGCGAGCCGAAAAATATTTTGCAAAAATGGTAAGAAACTCCAAATATATCACTTTCAAGGGTCTAAGTTATTTAACTGTGTTACTTATATTGCGTTTATAACACATCTACGCCTACAGTTTGTAATTTTGAGGAACAAAATTAAGTTAAGCTTGAGTAGATATATGGGAAGGTCTTGGCTAGCCTAGCTAACACGAGGCCATTTTGGACAAGCGGCTTCATTCCATGTACACGTGTGGCTATGCTTTCGTTGGCAGGTACTCCGCTAGATATTGTGTTTTCCCCGTTTCAGCTGCTCTATGTTCCACATAGTAGAATTCAATTATTACCTGTGCGTGACTGGCAGTGTAACATTTTTATTACATTTGTCAAGTTGCGGAGATAAGTTGGTGCTAGTTCACCAAGCCACGAGAGGCCTTCCTCAAAGCAAATCTTTAACGATCATTTTATTGTTGATTAGAGAATGGTGTTATAGTTTTTTAACAACAATAATGAATTGAATGAGGTGACATGGCGTTTTTGGCCACACTTCCGGTGCGCTCAATTTTCTGTTGTTTTGAAGTAGAAGTTTCTTATGATATTTTCTCCTTTTAGGCCTGTGCCCGACCCCTGATCTCGGTGTATTCCGAGAAAGGAGAATCTTCAGGCAAAAATGTTATCATGCCTTCAGTGTTTAAGGCACCAATTCGTCCTGATGTTGTTAACTTCGTGCATACCAACATGCGCAAGAACAGCCGCCAGCCCTATGCAGTCAGTGAACTGGCAGGTGAGATCACACATTTGTCTTGAACTCATAATTGTAAAAGGTTTTTAGAATAATTATGTTTAAGGGAAACTTAACTTTGATATGGTGTATTTCAGGCCACCAGACCAGCGCAGAGTCCTGGGGTACTGGAAGAGCTGTGGCTCGTATCCCTCGCGTGAGAGGTGGTGGTACTCACCGTTCTGGCCAGGGTGCTTTTGGAAATGTATCCTTCTCATTGTACATACTTTCTATGATCACTTTTTTATATATACTTTTACATTTATTATTCTTGCTGTGATGGTGTAATTTGCGACTGACTCTGTGACCAGTGACAGAATGCCTACTGTCGTATGCTGCACAGATGGTTGACGAACAAAGAGTCTGAGCGGATATTCAGTATTTGAATTATGTAGTAAAACTGTTGTAAGCAGTTGTCAGCCCTCCTTGACTTTGACAAAGATGTGTCGTGGAGGTCGTATGTTTGCCCCAACTAAAACCTGGAGACGCTGGCACCGCAAGATCAACATTACCCAGAAGCGCTATGCTGTCTGCTCTGCTCTGGCAGCATCTGCTCTTCCTGCACTTGTCATGTCCAAAGGTAAAGTGTTTCCTACATATATTGTTGGTAGGCTTTTTTTGTTTGCCATGATGGTGTAATTTGCGTCTGACCCAGTGAACAGTGACAGTTGCCTGCTGTCTCTAAGCTGTCACAAGGTATTGATGAGTAAAATATTCTGAGCAAGTTCCTTCAATCTTCCAAATCTTTGAAAATGATCAATTCATGCACTGACATATTTGGACTTTTTTGTTTTAGGACACCGTATTGAGGAAATCCCTGAGGTCCCACTGGTGGTTGAAGACAAAGTTGAGGGTTACAAGAAGACCAAGGAGGCAGTGCTGCTCTTGAAGAAGCTAAAAGCTTGGAATGACATCAAGAAGGTATATTTGGATTGCAAATTATAAATGTTTATAGCCAACTTCAGTCTCATTGTAAATAGTTGTATATTGTTAGACTGCTCTGTTGTTTGCCATCTTTGTGCAAATCTAGAATTGAACATTTGTCTGTATGACTGGCATAACAGTAATTTTGTCTTTCTAATAAAATGTATATTGCAGAAATAAAAAAACATAAGTAAAAAAGCAGAGACTGCTGCACAGCAGAACTAAGAATTGAGGAAATAGCAGTTAACATCAGTCTGAAATGGAGTGCTTGCTTTAATGGTTCTGAGAACTTAAACTATGACACTTAAGGTTTGATATTTTCTTCCAGGTCTACGCCTCCCAGCGCATGCGTGCTGGCAAAGGTAAAATGAGAAACCGTTGTCACATCCAGCGTAAAGGGCCATGTGTCATCTACAACCAAGACGCAGGAATTGTCAAAGCCTTCAGAAATATTCCAGGTTGGTTTGAGAATAACTTCTAAATGATGGGTGTCTTTTTAGTCCGTCATTCAGCATGCGTTAAACCATAAAGTCAAATATGGTGTAACTTCTTGCATTTTTGGTGGAAGTAATAAATTTGAAACTTTTGATAAATGTTTTTTCCTGTAGGCATCACTCTGCAGAACGTGAACAAACTGAACCTCTTGAGACTCGCTCCTGGTGGTCACGTGGGGCGCTTCTGCATCTGGACAGAGAGTGCTTTCCGCAAGTTGGATGACCTTTATGGCACTTGGCGCAAACCAGCCACCCTTAAAAATGGCTACAAGTGAGTAACAAGGGGGAGCATGCAGACGGCTTTAATTACTTTCACATCAATGATGAGCTTTCACTTCAGGTCCGTGTTTTTGAATCCATGTGATATCCACCGAAGTTCTGAGTTTGAGAAATTCACTTGGAGATGATGTCAGTTTATGTTCTTGAAGAACAATTCACTTAATCGTTGGGTTGTTTTAATTTCAGCCTGCCAATGCACAAGATGACCAACACCGACCTGGGCAGGATTCTCAAGAGTCAGGAGATCCAGAAAGTACTCCGTGCTCCCAGGTAAGAACTGTTAATTTGTCTTTCATGAATGATCAGCTATGATGAGTTTCCACTTCAGGTCCGTGTTTCTGAATCCTGATTATGATGGAAGTCCTGAGCCATACAATAGTTATTTCTTGAAAGATTGTTATGTACCTGATAGTAACCTGTTACTTGTCATTGCAGTAAGAAGCTCAACCGCAGAGTACTAAAGAAGAACCCTCTGAAGAACCTGAGGATTATGCTCAAACTGAACCCTTATGCCAAGACAGCAAGACGTCATGCCATCCTCAAGCATGACCCCACGGTGAGATGGAATTACCACTTTACCAAAAGATAAAAAAAAAACATGGAGCTGTTTCTCTGTTGTGACTCTGGATGTGTTCTTCCTGTAGATCAAGGCCAAGATGCTGAAGTCCAAGAAGAAGCCCAAGAAGAAGAGAGCACCTAAGAAAACTACAGCATAAATACACAGACTGGAGTTCAGTTATAAATAAATCTGTGGATTCAAGTTCATGAGTCTCATTGAAAATATTTATTTTACATTATCATTTTCATCTCATTGTTGCGGTTAAGAAAAATATAAACCAAAGGGTTTCTTTTAGTTAAATAATTTTAGAAAAACATGGCTTTTTAATACAGGCCTGTAACTTTGCCTAAATGTTTTACACATTAATTTCACTTGGCATGTAGATTTTATATATATATAAAAAATTTAATTGTACAACTTAACTTGCAGAATATCTTAAATAAACAGCCAATACTGATCGCCTACAGAGGATTTGAGGGTTAAATTGTGTTTCCGTGGGTGGGTATCCCAGGCTTTTTAGGATCTATGGCCCTGCACAACCAGCCAGCGAACTCCACCTGCAGTGGCAGTGCTGCTCCTGAAGAAGCTAAAAGCTTGAAATAACATCAAGGAAGTATATTTGCATTACAAACTAGAAATGTTGTTAGCCAACTTCAGTCTCATTGTAAAAGTTGTATATTGTTAGACTGTGCTCTGTTGTTTGCCATCTTTGTACAAATTTAGAATTGAATGTTTGTCTGTATGACTAGTTTAACAGTAACTTCTAGTTTTTCTAATGCAATGTATATTACAGGGAAATGGCAGAAAGACTGCTGCACAGAGGAACTAAGAATTGTGAAAATAGCAGTTAACATCAGTCTGAAATAAGGTGCTTGCTTTAATAGTTTTGAGAACTTAAGAACTGTAACATTTAACTTAAGGTTTGATATTTTCTTCCAGGTCTACGCCTATCAGCGCATGCGTGCTGGCAAAGGTAAAATGAGAAACCGTTGTCACATCCAGCGTAAAGGGCCATGTGTCATCTACAACCAAGACGCAGGAATTGTCAAAGCCTTCAGAAATATTCCAGGTTGGTTTGAGAATAACTTCTAAATGATGGGTGTCTTTTTAGTCCGTCATTCAGCATGCGTTAAACCCTAAAAGTCAAATAGGGTGTAACTTCTTGCATTTTTGGTGGAAGTAATAAAGTTGAAACTTTTGATAAATGTTTTTTCCTGTAGGCATCACTCTGCAGAACGTGAACAAACTGAACCTCTTGAGACTCGCTCCTGGTGGTCACGTGGGGCGCTTCTGCATCTGGACAGAGAGTGCTTTCCGCAAGTTGGATGACCTTTATGGCACTTGGCGCAAACCAGCCACCCTTAAAAATGGCTACAAGTGAGTAACAAGGGGGAGCATGCAGACGGCTTTAATTACTTTCACATCAATGATGAGCTTTCACTTCAGGTCCGTGTTTTTGAATCCATGTGATATCCACCGAAGTTCTGAGTTTGAGAAATTCACTTGGAGATGATGTCAGTTTATGTTCTTGAAGAACAATTCACTTAATCGTTGGGTTGTTTTAATTTCAGCCTGCCAATGCACAAGATGACCAACACCGACCTGGGCAGGATTCTCAAGAGTCAGGAGATCCAGAAAGTACTCCGTGCTCCCAGGTAAGAACTGTTAATTTGTCTTTCATGAATGATCAGCTATGATGAGTTTCCACTTCAGGTCCGTGTTTCTGAATCCTGATTATGATGGAAGTCCTGAGCCATACAGTAGTTATTTCTTGAAAGATTGTTATGTACCTGATAGTAACCTGTTACTTGTCATTGCAGTAAGAAGCTCAACCGCAGAGTACTAAAGAAGAACCCTCTGAAGAACCTGAGGATTATGCTCAAACTGAACCCTTATGCCAAGACAGCAAGACGTCATGCCATCCTCAAGCATGACCCCACGGTGAGATGGAATTACCACTTTACCAAAAGAT